TGTCGAGCGAGAGTTCGTGAGCTCATCACCAGGACGTCCTTGTTGTTTCTTTGTTCGCGGTTTGTGGGCTCCCCATGCGACCTCAGATGACTGATTTGCAAGGACTGGTGGCATCGGCAAGGGAATGATATCAGCGGGAGCCAGTTTCTTGGTTCTTATCTTTCGCTTGGCGTTTTTTGGGAAGCGTACAATGGACGACGCTCGTGCATTGGTCCGGGGTGGAGTGCTAGACTGATTACCGACTACCGATCCACTCCCAGTGGTATCCATAGTGAGGACAGAGTCGTCATCGTCATAGCAGCAGTCATTCTGGTATTGACGAAGCCAGATATCATCTTCGGCTGGAGCGAGCACGGAATATGGGTTGACAGCTTCTGTTTGATTGACAATTGGGGGAGTGGTGATGATGTTGGCTTTGTGTCGTGGAGTCGTCTTGCGACTTCGTTGAATGCTGAGAAATCCATCCAGCACATGATTACCATCGGCGCAGACATTGCTCTTGGGGACCATTGACCGTGTATTTTTGGGAGTAGTTTCGATCGGATTCGATGGTTTCACAATGGATTCACGTGGCCTCAGTTGCTGTGCCCGACTAGCCATGGTGGTGGAGCCCATTACAGATGTCTGCTGGGTATTAACTGCCATTGTTCGCGTACGAAACGGACCACAAGGCGCCATGGTGGTCCTTTTCCTCTTGATTGACTATTAAAACGGCAATTTTACTATAGAATAAACAGTACTAGTTTGAGAGTCCGTGTGCGTCCCAGAAGGGTGGTTCCAGTTCGTGCAGATCTGGAATTGTGTCTCGAGCAAAGGAAGATCAAGATGCCTTTAATCGATTTGTGGCCAACCACCCGAAGAATCTAGTTGCTGCAAAGGGAAACTATCCAGAGTGGGAAGGTGATGCTGCACAGAAACTACTCAAAGAGGATGTGGCGGCAGGATTGCATGATGAATGCCAGCCCAAGGAATTGTGGGAAAGTCGGGATGAGTATCAGCTCTTTCCTTTGAAAGTGTTTCGGGATCACATTTACCAAGAGCTTCGAACAGCACGATACTTGAATCAACTACAACAAACAGAAAAGGGGGGCTTCAAATGGAAAGAACTCTACAAAGAGATGCAGGGACACCATGAATATAGCTCTGACTAACGACAAGCAATTGTTGATACTAGTAGTATACTCAGCCATAGTGCTGCTTGTTTTATTCTTTGTGTGTTGTTGTTGTCGTTGTTGTTGTTGTTGTCAACGTTCGGGTGTGGTACGTCGGTACACCAAACATCCTCTTAAAACATCCTCTTAAACATCCTCTTAGCACGAATGAACATCCTCTTAAATAAACATCCTCTTAAAACATCCTCTTAAATGTTCAACATCCTCCTGAACATCCTCTTAAGTCTCTGACGTGCCCTTAAGTCCAACCTGATTTTGAGTCAGTCGTGGCAAATTTTAAATCCTGAGCAAAAACCGTCGGACGGCCCTGCAGAATGGGTCGCTACTGTAATTGTGAGGTCGCTGAGCGAAAATGGGACTCAACGGGAGAGTAGACGTTAAATCTATTCTTTTTGTCTAAATCTAAGGGGGAAACTTATATTAACGTCGATCCCCCGCGACCATTTTCCATAGAAAAATTGCCCGCACACTTCCAGGATGGTTGAAAGAGACTAAATGGAAATCGATTCTCGGGAACTGTTCCGGAACATCATTGTGCTTTTCTGTGCTATGATGCATTGCACCACAGTTGTTTCTTTGGTGGGTGGCTGGCTGGCTGTCTACATGTACATGTTGTGCTGAGCGACCTCAAGGAAGCTCCTGCAGGTTGGCCTGGACGGTTTCCATGGCTGGGTGTTGCTGTCCTCTTCAATACAGTATCCGCACTGGGCCATCATGGCTGGCGGATGATGAAAGTGCTCATTACCAGCCAGCCACCACTTGATACTATGATGACTTGCGTTTAAAACTGGCTGCTGATAACCAACCAGCCATGCACTGATGGTCTGCTCTCACAAAATGAATCAAGCCACTTCTCTCTACTACTAGCCAGCTACCACCACTAGGCCAGCCAGCAGAAGTCCCGATCCCTTGACTTTTAATCCGTGCGTTGAATTAGCTGCCTCTCCTCGTTCCTGGCTCCTTGAAAGTTCTTGATCCCTTTGGTACGTACCGTAGAAGAGCGACGTGCAAGCAATCGAGCTGCCGGGAGCTCTGCTGGGTCTGACTCTCCCAGCAGTCGTCGAATGCATGTACGCGTATTTGAATATTCTTTCCTTTCGCTGCCTCACCATCATGGTAAGTAAGTAAGTAAGGAAGTAAGGAAGGAAGCAACGGAGAGAGACTTGCATACATCATCGAGGACTGCGTCCCTTGCTTTCCGCCCCCAGCCATTGACTCGATAATCCCAGCAGCTCGGAACCACTGCAGAAGCCAATCGCAGCGCACTCTCGCTAGCTAGCTGGCTAGCTAGACACGGGTTCGTCGCGGAGCATTGGTGCCTGGGGCGGATGGACAGATTCGATTCGATTCATTCATTTGAAGATTCCAATACGGTGGCTGCAAACACAACTGGGCATACTAGCATGCAGCTAGTTTGCTTAGCACGAGAGTACATACATGTATGAAAGAAAAAGTATGGACTAGAGTATTATTGTACAGTTAGTTGAAACGCAGGTTGCATGTAGTAGATTGATTGAATTGCTTCAATCATAATATGTAGCGGTTTCCCAGCTGGTTGGGAATCCTTCGTTCTGGCAACTCTCTCTTGGATGGCCTCGTCCTTGTCTGAGGGACAATCATCCACCAAGGAAGGCTGACTGATTCCTCCCACCCGGACACTTTCAAAGTAAGTCTGGGTGGAATACGGTAGTGTCTTGCCAGGTGGTGCTCGATTCGATTCGATTCGATTTAGCCGTCGTACGGTTCGAGTGCCGACAGGTCTTGTGGAGACGCCAATGCAGCCGTCGCATGTGGAAAGTACGTGACAATCGCCACGACAAACATGAGATTGACAATCGTTGTTGCCACGGGAAGCAGTAGGAACAGGGAGCTCTTCATCTTGATTGTAGTATAGTATAGTATAGTAAGGATGGGACGATGGACAGCGATGCTGATGGCTGGAATGAATGAATGAATAAATTGTGAGCAAAAATCACACAGGAAAGCAAGAGGCTGAAAGGATCAATAATGTCCCGCTTGGAGGTCCTTCTTTAGAAAGCAGATAGCACGTGTGATGTGAGGGACAGCGAGGTTTGATGCAGGTCGATCTTGTTGTGGATTGCTGTTGCTATCTATCTATCTATCTATCTATCTATCTATTCTACCTAGGATCCAATGTTCGCATTAGCATCATGGTCGCCATCGAATTTTTGCCATTGTCTGGCAACTTGGTGTCATTGACGAAGCATGAAACCATCAGTTGGAAGTCTGTCTGTTCTCCGGTTTATATAGAGGATCCTCCAATCTCAACACGCATTGGTCCTCATTATTCGGCTGTCTACAGAGTCAATATCCAATGCGATCCTTCGCATTGATACGTCCGTTTGTTGGTTCTACAGTGCGTCACGAATCTTGAAGCTTCAAGCATTCACCTGCTGCCGTGCCACAGCCCTTTGCAACTGCAAGCTGCGAGAAGCAAGACAACGCTGCAGAGCTACTGTATTGAGGCAGTCTAAAAGACAGGTCGTTGTCTCTCCTTCTCCTCGTTACAAAAGCTACCAGTATTGCATAGTCTACTCTACCGGATCGTCGCTAAATCAAATCTATCTGAGGGACGAATGGATCGACTTGCTGCGACGCTTCCGCTGGTCTGTTGCCAGCCAGCCTGTTGCCATGGTCCATCTTTTCGGTGCCCGCACCTCATTAATTCTAAAGCATGACACACAAACCCCCATCCATTCACGCGCAGCGAAAACTCTCTTCATTAGCAAAGCCGCGGTTCGGACGCAAGCTACCTACTATCGCAAGCTACTATCATACTACAACCTACTTTAGTCCCTGTTGGTGTTGTTTGTTGAGCAGGCTATATTGTGACTTTTTTTTGGGGGGGGGGCGATGAATTCAAAAAAGACAAAGGCTACCGATTGATGTACGGTAGCAACAAACAGGCGCAAGCTTCAACAGCGCAAGTCGAGAAAGCTGACGTCGTTCGACGCCTTCTCGAAGCCGAAATGATTTTTCTAAGCAACACGCGCAGCTGTGGCGCTGAATTCTTCCTCTTGTTGACAGGAGTCAATCGAAGTGGCTGGCTGGCTCAATTCACTAGCTAGCTAGTACTAATTTTGTGCTGAATTCATCGACCGTGGCTGGACTCTGTACACATGTTACTGTACAGCCTGCCCCGGCGGGCAGCAGAGAGATCATTTGTGGGGCTGGCACTGGGCGAAGTTGTTGGTCGTGATGATGGGTTTGTGCTAGGCTCAGAAGATGGCTCAGAAGATGGGTTTGTGCTGGGCGAAGATGATGGTGTGGAAGTGGTTGATCCTGAGGGGCTTGTACTCGGCAGGGCTTGTTGTTGGAGAAAAAGTGGGGAAATCTCCACAGACTTTAGCATGTGTGTATGTGCAGCCACAAAAAAATCACAGGAAGGTGTTGCCAGGCCATTGTGAAACTCCTTGATGAGGTTGTGGTGATGTTATGTTAGCGTGGCGAAATAATGGGAAATCAACCAGAGCCAAGTATCCACCATTATTTGTTCCGCATATACCGGTACACACATTCGGTACTGACGACAGCATGCGTCCTGTAGCAAAAGCTGCATGCACAATGCAACAATAAGCAAGGAATGTAGTCGTCATCTTCAAACGGAGACGTCTCCACCAACGGGACGGCCCTACTGTAGGTACCAACATGGTAGGACTAGAGGGATTTTGTCATAGTACACCATTGGTAAAATACATGTAGTATATAAATGATTTTGAATGAATTATTACTTCTTAGACGACTGCAGCAACAACCCTGTCTGTCTGCCTGCCTGCTATCTATCATGGTCACTGCCTAGCAAATTAGCTAGAGAAGCTTTTGGAAAAAGCCCCCGACAGAACCAAGAAGGCTCTTGGGTTTCGCCTCCACAGTTTCCTTCTCGGAATCGTTGTTGTTGTTGTTCCGGACACCACAAACAGTAGCTTCCGCCACCACGTAGATTGGAGTACTTCCATCCAGCTCCGTGACAGTGAACGAACGGCTCAGTGCCATGCGATCATGAGAAACGGGGAACTGGTCGGGATTAATAATCTCCATTCCATCGTCTCCGCTGACCGGCAGCCGAGAGTGACCCACAAACGCATTGACATTCTTCAACCAGAGACGAACCGCTGCTTCCACCGTGACAACGGCCTCTCCTTCGGCGTCGTACGCAACCGACATGGTTCCCACAGGCGTGCTTTTGTCATTGTTCGTAAACAACTCCATGGAGTAGGCATAGTTCGAAGCCGCCAATGGACCATTCGTCCAGCCCCATGTAATGTCAGAGCCCTGATTGTCGAATCCATCCGTGAAACCAAGATCCGTAAAGCTCTTGGAAACCCGGGGAGTGTGGTAGGCATAGGCAACGCGGCACTCCACATTGTTGTTCGAGGCAGTGTCCTTGTTGTTGTTGTTGTCTTCTTTTGCGGGTGCGACGAGACCACCGTCAGCAGCAGAGTCATTGGGCTTGTTGTTTCCCTCGTCGCCAGCAAGATGTTGCGTGTTGCTCGACGACGTCTCTTCTTTGTCATTATTAGACGAAAGAACACGACGTTCCTCCCCACTACCGCACTCATCGCAGACAAAGCAGAACTCAATGTGGCTGATTCCCTTTGGTTCACCAACATCAATCGTTGCAGCAACACCCGCATCCAGCTCATAGACGGTTCCTCCGTTGCCTCCCTTCATGATCACGTACGTTTTCACAGACGAGGTAATGGTGGCACTCTTGAATTCGTCGCCATCGGGAATGCAAGCAACGGTAAAGGTACCGGGAGGAGTCGTTCCATCAGAATCACAGGATCCAGTCGTCTTGTCATAGTTGATGCTATTATCTTGGAGACCAAATGGGTGGTCTTGAGCGACGTTGAAGCATCGCTCATCCATCTTCCATCCATAGGCGAATCCCAAGTCCATGCAGTTGGGATTATATCCGCTGTACGAATAAACATTGTAGTCCACGCCTGCAACGGTGTAGGGTGAATCAAAGATATCCGGAGCGTAGTTGCACGTGCTACCTTCATCATCTTCATCTCCGCCTCCTTCGTCCTTTTCTGTTGGAGAAGAAGTGGGATAGTAAGTTGGGACCTCAGATGGGCTGTCTGTTGGGTATCCAGATGGTGCAGCAGAAGGGGATTCTGTGGGGAACGCAGAAGGGAATTCCGATGGAGAAGTAGTTGGACCCCCAGATGGGATTTCGCTTGGTTGAATGGAAGGACTTTCCGTAGGAACCATGGATGGTGCTCCAGATGGAAGGTCCGATGGCATTCCAGTTGGTTCGCTGGATGGTACCGAGGAAGGAGCTGAACTGGGGCTCTGGGTCGGGAAGGCTCCACAGACTCTGGCATGAGCAGCTGCGTAAAAGCCACAGGACTTCATGTTCACCGTGTAGGACTTGGAAATCATTGGGACACCCTCATGGGTGTACCCAAACTCGCTCACCGAAGGTAGAACCGCCATTTCTTCCCAATTAGGAAGAGGGTCAGCACCAACGTGGAGATGGGTATCCAACATGACATATCCGGCATCCATGTTGTATGTGAAAGTCACATTGTCTCCACTCTTATCGGGTGTGATTGAGACAGTTCCAACTTTGAGGCCTGCGGGGCCACAGTCAGTGCCAGAAGATTCAGAGTACAGAGTGATGGTCTTTGCAGCCTCCAATGCTACTTCATTCTCTTTGCCACCACCAGAGGAACAGAGGCAGTTGCAGTCTTCATCCTCCTCCTCTAGCTTTCTCTCCATGGTAATCAGTTCGGCCTCTTCTTCCAAGAGCGCCCGCAAAGTTCTCCTGCCTCTCCTTTTCTGGGACTTGGCTTCACTGTCGACAACCCTGCACCTTTGGTTGACCCAACGCTCTGGGTCAGAATTAGGAATGGCATCTCCAGGGAGCAGGCTGCCTTTGTTTTTGGACAAAAAGCCTTCTTCATCACGCTTCTTCACCTTCACCAAACTGTATTGGTTCTTGTTCGCTCTCTTTTTGCAGATGGGGTACTTCTTGTCCAAGGCCCTGTTCTTGGCTTGGTTTGCCTTGTTCATGACATTATTCACGTTCCTGTCAAAGAGCTTCTTCTTGACATCGTCATCTCTTTTTACAAACCTTGCTTCCGCTTTTGACTTGGCCTTTCTCTCGTCTTCCTCCTTCTTGATCTGGTTTTGGACGGCCGTTGTCTTGGCACTGCTCACCCACTTCTTGACATTGTTGACGTTCTTGTCAAAGTATTTCGTCTTGATAAATGTATCCCTTTCAAGCAGCCTCGATGAAGCCCGCTTCCTGGCCTTCTCCTCGTCAGCTTCCTTCTTGAGATGGTTGTCAACCACAGTTTTCTTGGCTCTGTCAGCCCAAGTCTTGACATTGTTCACATTCTTGTCAAAGTATTTCGTCTTGATAAATGTGTCCCTTTCAAGCAGCCTCGATGAAGCCCGCTTCCTGGCCTTCTCCTCGTCAGCTTCCTTCTTGATTTGGTTCTCAACCACAGTTTTCTTGGTTTTGTCAGCCAAAGTCTTGACACTCTTCACGTCCTTGTCAAATTTCGTCTTGACATCAGTTTCCCTTTGCCTGAGTCTGGTTTCAGCTCTGCTCAGGGCTCTCTCTTCATCTGCAACTCTTAACAAGTGTTTCTTCACAGCAGCCTGCTTGACACTGTCAGCCTTCTTCTTGGCAGCTGCCTTTGCCTTGTCTCTGGCAATCTTTGCTCTCTGCCGAGCAAGCTCAGCTCTCTGTCTTGCCTTATCTGCAGCCCTCTTTGCAGCAGCTAACTTCTTCTCAGCATTCGCGATTGCCTTTGCTGTTTCACTTGTTTTCTTCTTGAGGGAAGCCTGCCTGGCCGCATTTGCAGCATCTTCAGCCCTCTTAATTGCTCTCTCTGCCCTCTGTTCTGCCTTTATGCGAGCATTCTCTGCGGCCTTTCTTGCCTTCTCTGCTTCAAACTTCACTCTTTTCAGTTCAGATTCCCAGCGCGAATGGGCTCTTGCTCTTGCCTTGTCTGAAAGCTTCTTGGCCCGCGCAAGAGCTGCCTCTAGCTTCGTCTTGGCTGCAGTTCTAGCTCTCGCCTCCAGCTCAGCCTTCCTCTTGGCAGCTGCTTCAGCTCGAAGATCAGCTTGCTTCTTTTTCATGAGGGTATACAGGACTTTTCTCGCCTTCAATGTCTTCACTCGAAGTGCATAATCTGCTGCCCGTTTAGCGGCGCGGGCACGAGCTCGTTCCGTACGATCTTTGGCACGTTCCAGTGCTCTCTCTTGAGCTTTTTCCTTGCGGGCCTTCCTTCTAGCTTCAATTCGTGCATTTCTCTCTGCAGTGGCCCTTAGCCTGTTAGCTTTTCTGCGGGCTGCAATCAATTCTCGTTTCAACCGTTCCAAGTTAGGGTCTTTGATATCCTTGCACTTCCTTGACCTAGCTGTGATTCTCAAGTCATCAACTCCAGCACCAACTTCATCCCACTCCTTCATCACATCAACATCAAAACTTAGCTTCAATTTGCCATCGATGAAGAAGTGCCGAGGTACGGAAATCGTAACTTGGTGCACTTGATCTTTGTGAGCGTTGCTAAAGCCTAAGTTTGCGGCAGACGTCACAGCTTGCCTCTTCCACCTAATGCCTGACCTGTACCCTGTCTTGTAGTTACCAGGATGGAATTTGCTGTCATGATCAGTGAAAGTCTTGAGGTCAAACAGCTTCTGGCCAATTGTAACCAGGAACTTGTTGTCTTTGCAGACAACAGCCTTTTGGACCTTCGTCCTCGTTCCTACCAAGGACTTCTCCTCGCTGTCAACTACGTTACAGATTTGGTTCACCCACAGGCCTTGAGAATCAGGAATAGCATCTCCAGGACGAAGACTGGCTGGGTGAGTGTTCAAAAAGATTAGAACAGTCTCTGTGCTGACTTTGATCACATTGTAGGGTTTCTGTACATTCTTGGTTTTGTGGCAGATGGTGGTTGTTTTTGTAGATGACTCCAGCTTTCTTCGGTTGGCAGGAGTGTCCACACATTTCTGTGACGAGCAAAGGGAGCAAAGGGAACAATCGTGAAAATGATGTTGTCAGCAGGCAGCAGACACAACAGCAAAAGGGAAAGATCCCAAAAGAAAAGCATACCTTGCTCCAGTCATCAATCTCGTACAGCTTGAACTCAATGGTTACGCGCTGAGCAAAACTGGGAATGCTGAACTCCTTGGAAATGGGTTCACTGTCTCTGTGCATAAGTCCCAGGAAATTGTGGCCAGAATCTGGCAGATAGTCAATCATAAGATTGTCCCAACCAGATCCAATTACACCATCAACATCAAAGTTTTCAAATGCAACCTGCTCAGCACAGTTTTTCTCTTCCATCAGGTCGACCTCAAGGTCGATGCACTGTTTGCACGCTTCTTCACCACCAGCACAGCACTCGAAAAGACAACGGTCATCATGTTCACCAACAATATCAATTGCCCACTGCGGTGGGTTAGCAGTGCATGCCTCCATTTTACCCTCATAAACGCTTCCACACCTGTTGTACATGTCAAAGCTTTCTCCTGGCAAGTAGGCAAAGATGGAAGCACTTTCTGTTTCAGCACACCATTGGGTGGTGCAGTACTCATAGTTTCTCCTGTATCTGTTATTCCTTCCCTTCTCACTTGGAGGGATAACATAGGGGCTTCCATCAGGGGTCATCCATTCATCAGTCTTATCTTCATTGGGGGTTCCCAGCAAACCTTTGAAAAGACAGAAGGAGACAATATCAGAAGGGGTTGGTGGTACATCACTTGCACATGTTAGTAGTAACCAAGATTACTCACCGATAATCTTTTCATTGGGTCTGTAATCCTCTGGCAAACAGACCTTTGTAGACATGAGGCATCCATACTTGGTCGACTTGGATAGCTTGGCCACCAACTGGACGCGTGTCCTGGGGTAGTACATCACAATACTATTGCCCACTTGTCTCACTACAACATCGTCAAATCCTGTTCCATCCAATAAAGATCGCTCTGCACCATTCACGTGGAGGGTGACTGGGCACTTCTTGTCATAGGCTGATGGCACAGAAATCTGCACAGTGGGCACCCCAGCTTCACGAACAACAACACCACGTGTGACAGTGATCCGCCTTTGAGCATTGAAGCTCACAAATCGGCCTTGAATTTCAAACTTGGACTCCATGTTGGAATTCAAGGTTTTCAGGATAGTGAACTCGCCGGCACCCTGGCAGTCGTACTTTACTCCGTCAAATGTGATCATGTGTGGGTCTCCCCAGAAGGTTGCCACATTTCCATCACATGTAACCGGAAGCTTATCAGGAATCTCAATCTTGGGAGGTGCTGCCCTACCGTTTGCAGGGGGGAAGTCACTGTGAAAGCAAGATGATGAAACATGAAAGTTAGAAATGAAGTGGACATGTAGCAAATACACATGGTCCATGCAACAAGACAATGCACGAACCAGGATTCTCCATAGGCAACAAGAATGAAATTGTCAATACCAGCACTCTCTTTCTTCTTGCTGTCCTCGTCCTTAATAACAACTTCAATGCCAATCGTAAGGTTTCCATCCTTTTCGAAGTACGCCGAATTAATGTTGAGTGTAACTTTGTGGATCTGATCTTTGGTGCCCCCGAGCCCTAAGTCGCAGCTCCTCGTCGTCGCACGCCGTGTCCAGGCAATTCCTTGGTTCACGTCATGGACGAAACTATCATCTGTTTTGCCGTCACTCGAAAAACCAGCGATATCAATCTTGGCATCATTCACATAAACAAAGAGTGACTCATCATGGCTGCCACTCCTTTCCCAACCGCCAAGTTCATAAAAGTCAAACTCGAGGGTGATGACATCAGCCTCTTGTGGGACAGTGAAGTCAGCACTCATCTTGTTGTGGTACTTAGTGAGCCACAAAAACTTGTGTCTATCCTTCTCGTAAATCTTGCCCCAGCTACCACCCATATCCTCATTGAAATCTTCATAGAAGATCTGCTTTCCACACATTTTGTCAGTGAGGTCTTCCTGGGCATCTATGTACTTTTTCGCATCTGCAGGCCCACCGATACATCCGTCTATCAAACAAGCAGCATCAGGAGTGATCCTTCCACAAATGTCCTTGAGAATGCCCGGTGGATTAGAAACACATGTCTCTGTTTCCAAGTCAGCACGTTGGTCACACCCGAAATACTTCTCAAAGCTTTCTCCTTCTGTGTAATTGAACATTGACTTCTCCTTTTCTCTGATACAGTAGTTGTCAACACAGAAATCATAGGCAGGCCCAAATCTCAAGTCCTTTCTCCTTGTTGGAATAGGCAGGACAGTTCCATTCGGTGTCATCCAGTCATCATTCTTCTTAGAATTTGGTGTTCCCAGCAATCCAACAAATGATTCCTGAGACCTTTCGTACTCATAAGGAAGACAAAGCTTGGCGGCAAGGACACATCCATTCCTCGAGGACTTCTTGGCCATGGCAGTCAGCTGTACCTTTGATCCATGATAGTACACAATGAAGCCTTCCTTGCCGCGTGTTGACACCTTTTGTACTTGGACAGACTTGACACCAACACCCTGCTCACCAATATCCCTTGGTACTCCATCTACAAACATGTAAGGTGTGCAGCCATTATCAGCATTAGGAGGGACATTGATTTGGATTTTGGGTTCTCCATCACCTGTATTGAATACAATACTGGAAGTCACAGTAGGTCGGCGGTTTTGGACAAACTTCACAAACCGACCCTGTAGCTCAAAGGTAGAGTTCAATGACTTGAGGACTTGGAATTCACCCTCTCCCTGACAGTCATACCTGAGCTTGTTGAAAGTCCTCATGTGAGGGTCTCCAGACCATGAGGCAACATAACCTCTGCACTTCTGAGGCAGGGGTACAGGCTCTACTTCCTTGGGTGGACCAAGGTGTCTGTCTTCAGGGCCATTACAATCTGGGCAACTGCACTCTTTACATTCAGAGGTACCGTACTTGCCATTTGTCCAGGCCCACATTCCAAGACCCATGTCATCAGCACAAACAGAACTCTCATCATCAAAACCCCATGTGTGAACACACTGTTGGGTTTGTAGTGTTGGGGCAGCAGAGAGAACATTGGTGGGGCTGGCACTGGGCGAAGCTGTTGGTCGTACTGATGGTTGTGAGCTAGGCGAAGAAGATGGACGAGAAGATGGGTTTGTGCTGGGCGAAGATGATGGTGTGGAAGTGGGTGATCCTGAGGGGCTTGTACTCGGCAGTGACGAAGGGCTTGTTGTTGGAGAAAAAGTGGGGAAATCTCCACATACTTTAGCATGTGCAGCCACAAAGAAATCACAGGAAGGTGTGGCCATTGTGAAACTCCTTGAGGTTGTGGTGCTGTTAGCGTGGCCAAATGGGAAATCAACCGGAGCCAAGTATCCGCCATTTGTTCCAACAGGAAGAGAATCAGCTCCTACATAGAGATTGGTATCAGTCATGAAGAATCCACCAACCATGCTGTATGTAACTGAGATTGTTCCATCACTGTTTGGTGTCAAGTAGACGGTTCCAACCTTACCACCCTTTGGACCACAATTGGCAGTGACACCAATGTAGAGGTCCATTGACTTGGATGTGAGGACACCCGCAGCCAATTGAGTGGCACCTGTCTCAGGGCACAGGCAAGTACAATCAGCTGCATCATCAAGAGCCCTTGCGCCTGGAACGAGAACGTTAGGACGCTTGGTGCCAGTTTGACTCAACTTCCTGGCAGGAGTGGATTCACAAGGAGGACAGTTGCACACATCACAACCTGGCATTCCAAATCCAAACTTCCCATTGGTCCACCCACCATATTCATAGCCCAAGCTATCAGAGCAAACGTAAGAGTCATCATCGTGGGCCCAGCTGTCAACACATCTGTAGTGTTCACCTGTTGGGGAACTGCTTGGAACACTGCTTGGAGTACTGCTCGGTGTACTGCTTGGCGCATCACTTGGCGAAGAACTTGGCATGGAACTTGGTACATTTGTGGGGTAGCCAGTTGGTGACCCTGTGGGACTTGGCGTGGGGCCACCCGTAGGTGAACTGCTTGGTACATTTGTAGGGTGGGCAGTGGGTGAATCTGTGGGACTTGGTGTGGGGCCACCCGTAGGTGAACTGCTTGGGGCATTCGAAGGGGGGGCACTTGGGGACTCCGTTGGGAATGCACTTGGGGCATCACTTGGTGAAGAACTTGGTGCATTTGTGGGGTAGCCAGTTGGTGACCCTGTGGGACTTGGTGTGGGGCCACCCGTAGGTGAACTGCTTGGTACATTTGTAGGGTAGGCAGTGGGTGAATCTGTGGGACTTGGTGTGGGGCCACCCGTAGGTGAACTGCTCGGGGCATTCGAAGGGGGGGCACTTGGGGAATCCGTTGGGAATGCACTGGGGGCATCACTTGGCGAAGAACTTGGCGAAGAACTTGGTACATTTGTGGGATAAGCAGTTGGTGACCCTGTGGGACTTGGTGTGGGGCCACCAGTAGGTGAGCTGCTTGGGCTGCTAGTAGGTGAGTCACTTGGACTTGTGCTTGGACGCCTGCTGGGTGATACACTCGGAGAGTTCGTAGGGAAGTCACTTGGACTGGCAGTAGGGCCTACACTGGGTGATGTGCTTGGCAAAGTACTGGGAGATTCACTGGGAGAGTTACTTGGTGATTCACTAGGAGACTGGCTAGGTCCAGAGCTTGGTGATCCACTGGGTGAAGTAGTAGGCGAAGAGCTTGGTGATCCACTTGGTACATTTGTGGGGTAGGCACTTGGGCTGGCAGTGGGGGTGGCACTAGGTGATTCGCTGGGAGCCTGGCTGCTAGTTGGATAATAGCTTGGCAATCCACTGGGTTTGGGGCTTTCAGTAGGCGACACACTTGGAGACGAACTGGGGACATCACTTGGACTGATGCTGGGGCCAGAGCTTGGAGCAGAAGAGGGGTCAACTGACGGTGCTGAAGATGGTGCCGAGGATGGCGCTGAAGATGGCGAGGAGCTCGGTTGCGTACTGGGCGAACCACTTGGAGAAGCACTTGGGGAAGAGCTAGGTGATTCACTCGGACTGGTTGTTGGTGTGCTGGTTGGCTTCTTGCTGGGGCTCTCACTTGGGGTGGTGCTAGGACCCTCACTGGGATCAGCACTTGGGGCCTCACTCGGAGCAACACTTGGGCTGGCACTAGGTGGCTCAGTTGGGTATCCTGTGGGTCTACCGGATGGGCTGGAGCTGGGCAAGCTACTGGGGCCAATGCTTGGGGAAGCACTCGGGCCAACACTTGGAGCTGTACTTGGACTTCCGCTGGGGGCGCTACTTGGAGACCTGCTTGGGCTTGCACTGGGGGAGCTGCTTGGTCCTGAACTGGGGGATGAGCTTGGTCCTGAACTGGGAGAGGCACTAGGGGATGTACTTGGACTGGCACTGGGGCTCACACTTGGGTGAGAACTGGGAGAAATACTTGGGGATACACTAGGAGCAACACTGGGCGAGGAACTGGGGCTCTCGCTGGGAGAACTGCTGGGGTTCACACTAGGAGATGCACTCGGACTCGTGCTTGGTGCTGTACTTGGGGTGATGCTGGGCCCTGAACTTGGTGAAGCACTAGGACTTGCACTTGGTGATCCACTTGGTGAGGCACTTGGGCTGGAAGTTGGACCCAAGCTTGGTTCTCTGCTGGGGCTTGCACTGGGAGTGGAACTGGGGCTCTCACTAGGACTTTCACTTGGTGATCCACTGGGGGAACTACTTGGACCTGCACTAGGAGAGGCACTGGGACCAGCACTTGGACTTGCACTCGGTGATGAACTTGGTGAGCCACTTGGGCTTGCACTTGGGGAAGCACTCGGTAATGCACTCGGTGATGCACTCGGTGATGCGCTGGGACCAGCACTAGGGCTACCACTCGGTGACTTGCTTGGAGAAGCACTTGGAGAAGCACTTGGAGATGAGCTAGGTGATGGAGTTGGTTCGCCTGTTGGTGAACCACTGGGTGAGACGCTGGGAGATTCACTGGGGCTTGAACTTGGGCTAGCCGAAGGGCTGGCACTAGGACTATCAGTTGGGTATCCACTTGGGCTGATGCTTGGAGAAAGGGATGGACTTCCAGTTGGTGCAAATGTGTCAAATTCACCACAAATCCTGGCAACTGCTGCAATGTAGAAATCACAAGACTTCAATTCTACCACATAAGTCTTAGTGGTTGTCGTGGGGGAGAGGGAGCCTTCATCGTGAGAGTAATCAAAGTCAGCAGGTTGAACGAGAGGAACCTCCTCTCCTCCGATGTATAGTTGAGTCTGTTGAATGACAAGGTTACCAATAGTCTGGTATGTCACTGTCACTGTCTTGCCATCTGAACTTGGATTCACATAAACAGTTCCTGTCTTCTCTCCCTTGGGCCCACAACCTTCATTGGAGCCCATGTAGAGATCCATGGAAACAGGACTCAACGCAACATCAGTAGAGCTGTCTTCTGATCCAGTAATGCACTTGTTGCAACCCACCATACCGGTGGGCTCTGTTGGTTGAGGTTCCGTCTTTTGGCATGGCCCATCGCAGCGGAAGCAGAACTCCATGTGGCTGATTCCCTTGCGTGCACCAACATCCAAAGTGTATGTTGATCCAGCCTTCAATCCATCATAGATTACACCTCCATTGCCTCCCTTCATTATGACAACCGAGTCAACACTGGGAGTGATAACTGCATCAATGAATTGACCATCATCAGGACTTGAACAAGTCAAATCAAAGGATCCAACATCCATTTCACCTGCATCGCAGCTTCCCTTCGTTTTAGTCAGGCTGTCATACTCAAGGGAGCCACCAGAGCAACCATCCATCTTCCAGCCAAAGTCATAGCCCAAATCTTGACAGTTGGGGTTGCCACTGAAGGACTGTGCTGGTAGGTCATGGATACTCTCAGCAAAATCAGGTAAGCCAGCACAGTCAACAGTGGCTGGTGACGAGGCAGAGTCACCAACAGTCATGTCACCTCCGCAGCCGCATTTGTAGCACTCAGAAGTTCCATACTTTCCATTAGACCATCCAAATTGGCCATATCCCATGTCTTCGAGGCAAATAGGGGTGATAGTCATGTCAATCGCCCAGGAATCTTCACAGGTGTAGTCACTTGTGGTGGGGAAGGCAGATGGAAATCCAGAGGGAGCAACTGATGGACTGATCGATGGAGATGCACTGGGAGAGATGGAAGGCGAAGAAGTTGGTCCAAGACTTGGTTCTACACTGGGACTGCTACTAGGGCTCCTGCTGGGGCTTCCACTGGGTGATCCACTGGGGGAGGAGCTTGGGGCAGATGTAGGACCAAGACTTGGTGCGACACTTGGGTTTGCACTTGGACTCTTGCTTGGGCTTTCACTGGGGGCCTCACTAGGGGCTTCACTGGGGGATGCACTCGGGGAAGCACTAGGACTTTCACTCGGGCTTGAGCTTGGCGTGACACTGGGAGCAGAACTTGGTGAGGTTGTTGGGCCCAAACTAGGAGCTCGGCTTGGATTCGAACTTGGTGTAGCACTTGGTGAAGCACTGGGTGAAGCACTTGGGCTTGTACTTGGTGATGAACTGGGAAGTTCGCTAGGGCTAGAGCTTGGCGATATACTGGGGCTCTCACTCGGAGAACCAGAAGGACTTGCGCTTGGAGATCCACTAGGGCTCTCACTTGGTGATGAGCTTGGGGACTCACTGGGGCTAGAACTAGGACTCTCACTTGGGGATGAACTTGGGCTCACGCTTGGACTGGTACTTGGACTTGAACTTGGAGAAGCACTGGGGCTCATACTTGGTGATGAACTGGGACTCTCACTTGGAGATGAACTTGGGCTCAGACTTGGACTTGTACTTGGACTGGAACTTGGAGACGACCAGTCCAAGTACCGGCCCAAGTGAGAGTCCCAGTTCCTCTCCTAGTTCAAGCCAAGTCGCCAGTTCACCAGTGAGAGTCCCAGTTCTTCTCCAAGTGAATCACCAAGTTCTAGCCCATCTGGAGTCACCTAGTGCTTCACCTAGTACAAGACCTTCTGCTTCACCTAGTGAATCGCCCAGTTCAAGCCCCAGTGAATCGCCCCAGTCCACCCAGTGAGTCCCAAGCTCTAGTCCAAGCTCTAGTCCAAGCGAGTCTCCCAGTTCCAGTCCCAGTTCTTTGCCAAGTTCACTGCCCAGCTCTGCCCCAGTGAATACCAAGCTCCAGCCCAAGTGAGCACAAGCTCTAGTCCCAGTGAGTCACCAAGCTCAAGCCCGAGTGAGTCACCAAGCTCAAGCCCAAGTGCACACCAAGCTCTAGCCCCAGTGAGACTCCGAGTACCAGTCCAAGTGAATCACCTAGTGAGTCGCCAAGCACTAGTCCTAGGCTTCAACCCAGTGCGAGCCCAAGCTCTAGCCCCAGTGAATCCCAGTGAATCACCAAGCTCCACCCAGCACCACCCAGCGGCCAGAGCCCAAGTGCACCCAGTGAATCACCAAGCTCTAATCCTAGTGCTACACCAAGTACTTCTCCTAGTGAGAGCCCCAGCGCAACACCAAGCACGAGCCCCAGTGCTTCTCCAAGTGAAGCTCCGAGTGAAGCTCCGAGTGAAGCTCCAAGTGAGGCTCCAAGTGAGGCACCCAGTGAGCACCAAGTGAGGCACAAGTGAAGCACCAAGTGAAGCTCCAAGCAGTAGCCCCAGCGTAGCCCCAAGTTTGGGTCCAACAGCTAGCCCCAGCAGCTCACCAAGTGAATCTCCCAGTGAGACTCCAAGCATTTCTCCTAGTGGCAGCCCAAGCTCAGAACCCAGTTTGGGGCCAACATCATCTCCTTCAGGAAGCCCCTCTGGTAGCCCAAGTTCTGCTCCAAGTGCTAGCCCAAGTGTCAGTCCCAGTGTTGCTCCTAGTCTGGGTCCAACAGCCAGTCCAAGCTCCTCTCCAAGTGTATCACCAAGTGAGAGTCCAAGTTCTTCCCTAGCAGCACTCCCAGCAAGGCACCAAGTTCTTCCCAAGTGAG